ATTACACCAGTTTTCTTATCCCTCTAATGGAAGTACTTAAATAAAATTCCTTATTTATTTCCCTTAAAAAAAGGGAGGAAATAAATCTGCTATCAGGGTACCAGTTAGCATTTCCTCTTTTAGAAGTCCCCCAAGATTTATATTTCTATATAACTTTGGCTGCCCTGTTGCTACTTTTCCAAATTGCTCAGCTGCAAATTTTTAAAGGGGAAGTTCAAATAATCTTTTCATCAAGTCTTTAATATGAGAAAAAATATCAGAGGTAAAATCATACCATAGCTCTCTGAGCTTCTCCACCATATTTATTATCATAGGAAAGTGTTACTCCTCTAAGCCTGCTCTTCTAAACCTCATGAGACGTATCTGAGTTTCTCATCTCAGCTTCATTTAGTTACTATTTTAGAAAACTAACAAAAATCAAGTGAGACGTTAAAATTACAGGAGTCATAGTTGAGATTTAAATGACATCCCTTGTCAAACTTGAATTTTCACATTCACTACCATTCAGCTACACACTCACTCACACACCATCATGGCAAGCCACATTGTAACCACAGCTGCCATGGAGCTCACTGACAGAAGCAAAGCTGTCGTATACAGGCCCTCTGATCACCATCAGTTCTCTTCACATGCAGTTTAAGTCACTTGCCCAAGAGCACAAGGACATGGAAAGCCAGAGCTGGGGCTTCAACCCAGAACCAGGGCAAACTCCAGCATCCAACACCACTGTCGCCCAACCGAGCAATAGTGAAAAAATAAATGGCATATGTAAATCAAGAGTGTCTCCACTTTGGTGATCAAAATTCATCCAAAAGATGGACATATCTCTTTGTAGCCAGGAATAAAGGATGTATTTACTTTTTTTTATGAGAGGAAAAATATTCAAATCATATAATCTTTTATGGGCATGCCTAAATATTTTATTTATTCTTCTCACTTGAATCCCATATAAAGTGCCCTATTGATAATCATGTATTGACATTAACTCACATTTTAATAAATTTAAGTATTACCCAGAGGCATCTTTTTTTATAACTAAAGTGATCTGGGTTTTTTTTTCTATCTTTCAGAAAAATAGGAGTAACATCAGCGAGCTGAGTTATTATCAGATGATAGCAAAATACATTCAAGGCTCAATATTTTGGCTATTAAGAAGAAAAGCAGTCAATAACTCTGCAGCCAAAATAAAAAATAATGGAGAGCAGAGGCAACCCAGTCAGATTCCCCATGGCTCTTCTAATCAGTGTTGGGAAAGTTCTCTTTCTACGTGAACTAGTTCAAAGTTCAGTTCACACATTTGAAAATGAACTAGTTCAGTTCATAGTTCATAATTCAAAACCAAAAAATGAACTAGTTCATAGTTCTTTTTTTTTTTTTTTCATATATTGGTAACATATTAAGGCCTGTTTACGGTGTTATTTAGCCGGGGTTTCGCCTGGAGGGCTCTATAGAAATCTGGCAACCTATTGAACGGAGTTGAACTGAGAGAGCGTGCCGTTCACAGACACCAGAATGAACGAGTTCACAATAACGTTCATCAGGCAGTAATGCCGTACGTTCAGTTCACGTTCGCCCAAAATATGAACGAGTTCATGAACTTTCGTTCAATGAACGCGTTCAGGCACAACACTGCTTCTAATCTGCTTGTTCCTTTAAAGAAAGAGGGACTAAACTATTAATATCCTTACATTAAATACATCACTTTCATTAACGTTTTACCAAAGCAAAAATGCTCTAAGGATTAAATTATAAAGGGATGCTGTATAGAGTCAAAAGCTTTGTAGAAACTTAAAATAAAACAAAGCCTTTATCTTCAATAAATGAATTATAGTCTATTAAGTCAAGAACCAACTGGTTATTGTTGTGTATAGAATTATCCTTAATGAATTCTACTATATTTTCCTGAACTATCTGTCTCAAATCAGTTTTTTTAGTCGATTGGAAAAGATAAAGGTGAATAATTTATAATCCACATTCAATAAAGTTATTGGGCTCAGATAATCGACATATCTTTTGTCTTTTCCAGGTTTTTGGTAATAATGCAATGAGTCCTTGTTTCATAGTTGGCATAAAATAATCTTTTTCAATACATTATTTTAATGCTTTGGTAATAATTATATTATGTATTTCCAGATCTTGACCAGGAGATTTACCTGACAGTTATTTTACCGAAACATCTAATTCATCTAACTGTATTTTAGTGTTGCATAACGTTTTGAATGTGAAATCAATTCTATGAATCTTGTGTTTAATGCTTTCAAAAAAAGGATATGGAGGCTGTGATGAGAGTAAACAGAGTTCACAGAGAGAAATCTCTGAATTCTCTGCTTGGGATCAAAAATGGACACAAGATTTGAGAAACTATGAGAATGTACATCCTTTTGCTCCAGGAAAAAAAAAAAAAGAGGCACAGGAGAAATAAAGCTCAGTCTGCTTTTGTGTCACACATATCCCATAGTTGTATAGGAGAAGTACATTAAACATTTTGGACATCTCATTTCAGTTTTTCCTTTCCTCTGGGTGTTTTCAACTAGATAGCGACTTTGTCTCCGATTTAAAATCTATGCAAAATAATGTGTTAGTAACTAAATATTACATATTTTTTAAATAATTGTATCGATAATACATGTTTTTGTTGCCACATGCAGAAAAATGTCATTTTAAGGTGAAACCAGAATTGACCAGGACAAATGTTGTGGTTTTAACATTTCTAAACAATTTTTTTCAAAGTTTTTACTTTTTATTTTGATGAAACTGGCATTGAAGGAATGGGGGTAAAAAATCTGAGATTTTAAAAATATTACAAAATAGAAAAGCATTGGTCAAGAACACAACATGCCAAGATATTCGAAGAAACCATCCCGAACACATAAGATCCCCTTAGTTACGACAAATATGAAATGGGATATTCCTCATTGATTTACAAAATACCCCTTACTTGCATTAACCTCGCCAGGGATGTCTGGAAATACCAGCTCAGTAAAAGTAAACCTGCTGTCAGCAGCCAGAGTGCCTTTTGCTACACATGAAAAAAAAGAAACTGCTGACAACATGTGCAGACTAAGAAATCAGGTTCCAGGTAGTCTGAATGAGTTAGACAAGCTTCCCGCTCAAGTGCAGTCACAGGTGGAGCTAAAGTAAAGTCACAGAAATCCTGTAATGGTGTTGGAGATCATGGTCCCTATAGACAGAATAAAAATTAATTACATGAGCATTTCCTGTGGAATTGCAGGTAAAAATTAATAAAAGTTGAGGAGGAAAACAAATTTAAACTTTTTCATGAGTTGCTCTGTCCTATATTTAAGTCTTTGCAGTGTTTCATAATACAAAGGGTAGATAAAGGTAAAGATTTGCAAGTTTGCATTTTTAAGAGCATTTTTAGAATTTTGTTTCATTACTACTTTTAATACTTTACTACTGCAAGCATGCTTGATGTGAGGGATTGCCTTCAAGTCAATTAGTCGATGCAATCAGCTAATTTCCTTAGAAAACTTTGAACAGATCTGAATATGATCTGGTTGAATTGTCTCTGTAAAGTGCCTTGAGATGGCACGTTTTGTGAATTGGTGCTAAATAAATAAACTGAACTGAATTACTCTTCCTTCAGTCAAACATTGATTTGTGTCACTGTGTGCATGTGTTTGTGAGTGTTTTGTGTGGAAAAAACAAGAGACACAATGGCAGATACGAAAGAGACAATTTTCAAACCATTTTCACTATAGAAATAGGCGCTATGTAGATATAACTAATAGGCAGAATCATATTCTGCATAATATGTTATTGACAGATTAAATACTGCTATTCATGTTTTTATCATGCAGTATTTAATTGTAACTTTGTTTCGTTTCATCTGCACTTGAAGAAAATAACAGCTTACTGATGTATAACATCCAGACAATCCACTTACAACCAGAAAGCAGATATTACATTTCCAACATAAGACTACCTTCCATTTTCCTCAAGCTGTTATTGATTATTTCTTAAATGCTACTACTACTGTTGGCTTGTACCAGGAAATTGGCATCATATTGAAACTGTCACAGCTAGGGTGCATTTCATTTTAGGCCCTGAGGACATATGGAAGAATCAGTTTGCAGCTGCAGGTATTCGCTGATTGCTGTGATGATGTAAAATATAGTTCTACTTCATCAATTAGCAAAGTAGTTTGAAAACTGGTTCAGGTATCAATGTTGTACTTACATTAGGGATATTTACAAGAGGTGCAAAAAAAAAAAAAAAAAAGAAAAAAAAAAAAAAAAAATATATATATATATATATATATATATATATATATATATATATATATATATATATATATGGCAAACTTGATTTTAAGATGAGTTTTATACTAAGACAGTAAGTGAGTGGCAACAAGGAAAAGGGGAGGCTCATTTGACATTTTTGGAGCTGCAACTGCAAACACTCTGCCCCTCAGCTTCCGTTTGGACCTTGGTACCTGTAGGAGAAGAAGGTCAGCCGACCTGAGGCACTGAGTGGGAGCATAGGGGTGCAGAAGCCCAGAGAGTGCTGGTATCATTTTAAAAAGTTGCTCTATTAAAGCCACAACATGTTAAGTAATGCAATTCATATTTTCCAAAGTTGCTTGAATGAAATGCTTAATTAAAGGTCTAGCATGAGTGAGTTTTCATCGACTGAAAGGATCACCCTCTTCTTTAATGTTTTCCATGGATTTACAGTCTTTTACTTTCTTCTTTCCAGTATAAAACAGAAATGTGTTTGGAAAGTCATGACATTGAACTTCAGGCAAAACCTGATTACTGAGGTAATTCATTTCACAAAACAAAAAATCCCATGATTAAGGATTTGGTTAGTGGATATGTAAAATAGCTGCTTTGGTGAAAGCAGCAGTCAACACTGCTGTGGTCGAACTCCTTTCTGCAACGTTTACAATATTTGTAACTTTGAAGTAAATGTGCACAGACAGGAAGGATATTAGCTAACTGATATTACAGATGTCTGAGTAAAATTTGAATACATACCTTCACCACATCCACATCTGTTGAGCTGCAGGTGACCGAGTCGTCTACTTCCCTCACCTGTCCATCTGTTTCCACTGTAACCAATTTAATGGGCATTGCTACCCGTCTACCTGTAAGAATGGCCGTATTCAACACCTCTGTGTCCTACAGATGGAGAGAAGAGGAAAAAAAACATTTAGTTCACTATTTAGTCATTGAGTTGTTTCTGCATCGTCTTATATTATACTGTACATGTACAGTAGTTATAATAATGATCAATCACTAAAATCAGTTAATATAAAAGATATCTAAAACAGCATATCCTTAAACTGTTTTTAAAAAAATTGTAATCTAATTCCAGTTGAAACAGAGCATCAAGTAGGTGGGCAGGAAGACATGACTGTGAATGACAACTCAGATGAGCACACATGAAGGAACAAGTGAGAGGGAAAAGGAGAGTTTTAAAGAAAGAATCTGAAGGCGGGGGGGAGTTATTATAAACCTCACAATTATTGTAATCAGCATGATTACATTTGATTAGATCCTTCCAACAAAAATAGCACAAACAAACCGCCACATACATGGAACTCAGAACACTGTGTGCCAATGTCAACCCTGTTTATTTGGGATTTCATTTTCAAAGGGGGCATTCATCACTGCCAACATTTCAAGCCTGTAATCAGGCTTCCAATTTATATATATATATATATATATATATATATATATATATATATATATATATATATATATATATATATATATATATATATATATATATATATATATATGCGTATGTGTGTGTATTAAGTCTGTCCGTCCATCCTAACCATATCTGACCAGATCAAGAAAAAGAAGAGACTTTTATGTCATGATTGGTTCTTTGTTAATACTTAGAACAGGCGGACAAGCTGACTTATTAAAATCAATACTACATGTCATGTAATGGATTACTGTAGTGGAGATGGATGGACCCAAAGACAACCCGCAAACAGGTCAGTGAAACGTTAACAGTCTTTATTTAAGAGAGAGGGCGGCACGGACTCCCGGGAAGAACGATCAGGCTCAGCGACAGGCAGCTCCTATAGACAGAGTGGTGGTTAGTGACCAGTGGAGGCAGGCAGATGTTTGAGTAAGGAACTTGGTCACTAACCTGGCTACAAGAAGGCTCGGTTGGGCTCAGTCCGGTTTCAGGAGAGGAGAGAGTCCGTGCTGGGGAAATCCTAGGTTCGGTCCGGGTCTTGACGAGGGGGGAGTCAGTAAATCCAGCAAAGGTATCCAAGGGGGAATCCAGGGGAAGTTCCGAGTCCAAATCCAGTTCAATATCCACAGAAGCAAACACAGTTCAAAGGGGCAGGCAATCTCGGTAACTCACAGGCAGGCTGGGTCAGAAACACGGTTTGGCAGTCCAGATCTCTGAGGCTGACGAGCAGGGCTCAGGCGGGCAGACAAAAATCCAGAAAGGGGGTAAGGCAGGCTCAAAAAACTGGGACAAAAACAGGTCGAGGTTCAGACAGGCAGATGCACGTAAAGAATAGGCTGGAAGTTCTCACCAAGAGGCTTGAGACGTTCTGGCACTGGAGGCAGGAGGGACAGAGCTTTTAAGCAGGAGGGGAGGAGAGAGAACAGGTGCACTGATTGCAATTAGCAGCTCCAGAGCCAGGAACATTACAGAGCCCCACCCTCAAGGGCGGATTCCAGACGCCCTAGGCTGGTCCGGGTGGGCCCTGTGGAAATCCCTAATAAGGGATTTGTCCAAGATGTGGCGGGCAGGAACCCACTGACGCTCTTCGGGCCCATAGCCCTCCCAATCAACGAGGTACTGGGTACCACGACCCCACTTACGGGACTTCAGGAGCCTCCTAACAGAGTAAACCGGGGAGCCATCAACCAGGCGGGCGGGCGGTGGGGGCGTGGAGGAGGGAACCAAACTGGAGGTTTTGACAGGTTTGACCCGGGAGACATGAAAAGTGGGATGGACCTTCATGGTGGGAGGGAGGCGGAGGCGTACTGCCACCGGGTTGACCACCTTGGAGACGGTGAACGGTCCGACGAACCGCGGAGCCAACTTCCTATTGTCGACCTTCAGGGGAAGGTCCCTGGTGGAAAGCCAGACCCTGTCTCCCACCTGGTACTGCGGGGCTGGAACTCGCCGGAGGTTAGCTGCACGGACCTGATTTTGGGAGGCCGCGTGTATGGCTCTCTTGGCCCGCCTCCAGGCACGCCGGCACCTCATGGCAGAAAGGCGGGCAGAGGGGACCCTGGACTCTACCTCCTCAGTAGTGAACACCGGCGGCTGGAACCCGTAAACGACGTAGAAGGGGGAGAGACCTGTAGAGCTGGAAGGGGTGGCGTTAATCGCGTGCTCGACCCAGGGCAAATTCAGAGCCCATTTAGAGGGATCAGACTGGCAAAAGAGGCGAATCTTGGTCTCGACCTCCTGATTCATCCTTTCAGATTGGCCGTCAGTTTGGGGGTGGAAGCCGGAGGAGAGGTTAACGGAGATGCCGAGCATGGCACAAAACTCCTGCCAATAACGGGCCACAAACTGGGGACCCCGATCTGACACAATGTCAGAAGGCAGGCCATGTAACCTAAACACCTCCTTGGCCAGGATCAACCCCATCTCTTTGGCTGAGGGGAGCTTGGGTAAAGGGACCAAATGGACCATTTTGGAGAAACGGTCCACAATTGTGAGGATAACTGAGAAGCCGTCGGAGGAGGGGAGACCAGTGATGAAGTCCATAGAAAGGCTGGACCAAGGCCGAGAAGGGATGGGCAGAGGTCGAAGCAGACCTGACGGAGGGCGATGGGAAGCCTTAGCCTGATTGCAGGGGGAACAGGCAGAGACGAACTCACCGACGTCTTTGGCCAGAGAAGGCCACCAAAACTGAGATCGGATGAGCCGAATGGTTTTGTTGATGCCAGGATGACCATAAAGGCGAGAGCTGTGACAGAGATCAACGACTTTGGGTCTGAGGTGGAGAGGGACAAAGAGCCTGTCCTTGGGACAGGCCTCGGGTATCTGTACAGACCCTAGAGAGTCCCTTACCTCCTTCTCGAGCCCGAGGCGGGAAACAGCACACCTTACTGTGTCTGGCAGGATGAACCCCCGTTCTTGGTCGTCGTCTACCTCCTCTGCCTCGAAGAGCCTGGACAAGGCGTCGGGCTTGATGTTCTTAGGACCCGGCCTGTAGGAAAGGGTGAAGTTGAAACGACTGAAAAACAAAGCCCACCTGGCCTGTCTGGGGTTTAGTCTCCTAGCAGTCTTGAGATATTCCAGGTTGCGGTGGTCAGTCCAGACCAATAATGGAAGCTTGGAGCCCTCGAGCCAGTGCCTCCACTCCTCGAGAGCCAACTTAAACGCCAAGAGCTCCCGGTTGCCCACATCATAATTCTGCTCTGATTTTGACAACTTCCTGGAAAAGAAAGCACAAGGGTGAATGCGGCCATCACCGGACTCTTGGCTAAGTACAGCCCCTACCCCAGAACTAGAGGCATCTACCTCCACGATGAATTGCCTCTCCGGGTCGGGGGAAACGAGGATAGGTGCGGAGGTGAACCGTTCCTTAAGGCGTTTGAAGGCGATTTCTGCCTGCTCGTTCCAAATAAATTTGGCCTTGCTAGAGGTGAGAGCGTGGAGTGGAGAAGCGACCTGACTGTAGTTGGTAATAAACCTCCTGTAGAAATTAGCGAACCCCAGAAACCTCTGGAGCTGCTTACGGTCAACCGGGGTGGGCCACTCGGTGACCGCTCGAACCTTAACTGGGTCCATGGCAATTTGTCCAGGGGACAAAACAAAGCCGAGGAAGGAGGTTGATTCTGTGTGGAAAGCACATTTCTCTGCTTTGACGTATAGCTGATTCTGTAGGAGGCGGAGAAGGACGGAACGGACGTGTTGTTTGTGAAGGGTGAGGTTCTTGGAATAGATGAGGATGTCGTCCAGATAAACAAACACGAAGCGGCCAATCATGTCCCTGAGAACCTCGTTAACCAGATTTTGGAAAACTGCTGGGGCGTTGGTAAGACCAAAGGGCATGACCAAATACTCATAATGGCCGGTAGGAGTATTGAAAGCGGTCTTCCACTCATCACCCTCCCTAATACGGACCAAATGGTAGGCATTACGAAGGTCCAACTTAGTGAAAACTTTAGCCCCTTGGACCTGATCAAACGCCGTGTTCATTAGGGGGATAGGGTAACGGTTCTTCACCGAAATGTTATTAAGCCCCCTATAATCAATGCAGGGACGAAGGGAGCCATCCTTCTTCCCGACAAAGAAAAACCCTGCCCCTGCAGGTGAGGAAGAGGGGCGGATGATGCCCGCACTTAGGGAGTCATTAATGTAGTCCTGCATGGCTTGGGTCTCAGGAGGGGAAAGAGAATAGAGGCGACCTCTAGGTGGGGTGGTGCCTGGTAACAGATCAATCGCACAGTCAAAAGGACGATGAGGAGGGAGACTCGTGGCCTTGGATTTGTTAAAAACCTCCCTCAAGTCATGGTAAACAGATGGGACCTTGGACAAATCTGGGTAATAATCATTAGTCTTACCCTCAGCGGAGTGAAGAGGCTGGGCGGAGAACAGACATAATTCAGAACAGGAAGGAGCCCATCCCGTCACCTCGACCCGTCGCCAGTCAATCTGGGGATTGTGTTTACGGAGCCAGGTGGCGCCCAAGATAACAGGAACCTGCGGGGAGTCAATTATCATAAAAGTCAGCATCTCCTTATGATTACCTCCCATCGTTAGCTCCACAGGTTCAGAGACGAGGCGTGACTGGTTGAGTTCGTGACCATCCAGGGCGAGCACACTGCGGGGGGATGAGCCAGGGTGGAGTGGGATACTCAATCTTCTGGCCAAACCTTCATCCATGAACTCAGTGTCGGCTCCTGAGTCGATGAAAACTGACAAACTATGGGATTCAGAGGAGAAGGTTAGAGTGGCTGGAAGTAAACGGTCAGAGGAGACGGCCAGTTTGGTGTAGCTCAGTAGGGATCCCCCACCCCCTACTGAGCTTTGTCTTTTGCTGGACAAGACCGAGCTCGATGGCCATCCCCCCCGCAATAGAGACAGAGTCCCTGCTGCTGTCTGCGCTGGTACTCATCTCTTGACAGGCCCACCTTGCCCAGCTGCATAGGTTCAGGTTCAGAGGGCTTAAGAGAAACCG